TTATATTTCATAAAATACAACAATTTAAACTCACTGTATCTGGGTCATGTCATACATGTCACTTCTGCCACTGTGTAGGGTCAGGGTCAAGGTATTAATCTGCAGCTAAAACTGTGCAGCTTCTGTGCATTGTTGTAGTCCAGTGTGAATGTTTAGAGACTTTGGGATGCCTGTGATTTTCCACTGGCTTTACTTATATGAATCTGTATGGTTTACATACTGCCAGGCTGGAGCTAGAGAAYGCCAGAAGATTCAGGAAGTGGGTCAGGGAATTATTCCATAACTCAGTTATACTTGTCCATAACTCATGTCTTAACAAGTTGCAGCTTGTATGTTTTATAAACCAAGATGAAAAATTGGAACTAGTATTTAAACCATAACAAAACTCAGAGTGTTTAGAGATTCACTAGCATAGAAAAATTGCCTTGCTGAAGCATATTATGTATTTTGTACTGCAATACTTAGTCTTTCATGAAGCTCTATCAAAATTTATTTAGATGTTGAAGTRTTTTCTAGCAGAAAATTACAAAAGGATCTGAGATTTAAGAGAGTCAAGTTCAACAGAAAATAAAAAAGTCACAAAACTTTAATCTAAGAATTCTGCTTCATACTTTACTATTTGTTTTGKATTTCTTGTTTTATAAAAATGACAATATTACTTTGGGCTGGGATTCTACAATGTTTTTATTTCCTAGGAGTCTTTTTTTTCCATTAATGAGTTTTAATTTTAAAAGTCTGGTATAACAATAATGTGACCTACTTTGTTCGGGGTATCACATCATGCTATTTTGTTTGTTCAGTATTTTAAAATGGTGTATTTGGTCTTAATTTTGTCAGGTATATTGTAATTGCCATTCAGATTTTATATACTCATAATTAAAACTTGGGTATTATGCAGAAGAATGACAAAACTGCTTGCAAACAGCAATTTTCTTTCCTGTTATTCAGTCATAGGCTTGTTATCACAGACATGCACATTTAACTATCTATCCAGGATTTACTTAATGTGCTAGAGAAAGTATCCTTTTACCCTGGCAGAATAAATTACAGCCATAGGTCTAAACAGAAAAAAAACAAAAAAAAACAACAACAACAAAAAAAAAAAAACAAACATCTTTGACATTGCCATGCAGAGTAAAACAATATTTCATTTTCTGGTAGCATTCACTTATGTTCACTCTAAATCCTAAACCAAGTTAAATAAATTAATAAAACACCCTTCAAATAGTTACTGTGTTTATAGAGATGTTTGTGAGCCAAAAATATTTTCATTTTACATAATTTTGCTTTCTCTTGGGAAACTCCAGTGCACTGTAACTTTATTGCAATATTTGTGTATTTCTGTGCATATATTTTCATTTTGCTACAAATTGGACAAMATATTTGGAGTAATCTTCTTTATAATCTTGTTTATACTTTTATTACTTGTATTTGTGTAATGCCTTTGAAAGGGATGACTCCGAAGGAAATTTTGCATCTTTTTCTCAAGCCTGCTGAACTGACATCATCAGTTTAAAAATTAAAGCTTTGTATTGACCAGGAAGGGTTTAATTGGGATGGGACATGTGCTATTGAAACTTAAGCCTGTATATTTTACTATCTATTATCTGTATCTATGATCGTGTTATCTATTATGGGTCAATTATTCATTTAAAGGAAATATAAAAAACCCTATTATTTAACACATTTCATGGTAGTAAAAGTTTGCAAAMAATAAATAACAGAACACAGGACTCGAGCAAAATGTAGGAAGTAATTGACTCCGTCTGCTTGCCCCCAAAACAGCATCAATTCCTTGTGTGTCTTCTGGACAAAGACTTCTCTATCTTTTCTTTTCTTTCATGGAGATTTCATGACTGCTGTGAGCAATATATTCAAATTTCAAATATTCTTACCATTAAAGTTGGTTTTGTCAGGTCTTTCTTTTACCTAGCGTAGATCAGCCTGATGCTGTTAAACCCCATTATTTCTTGTCTGGACATGGAGAACAGATGATTGGCAYTGAAGATGTTCTTTAAACCACCTTCTTTGTCTCTTCTTTAGAGTAAACAGCTCCAGTTCCTTCCATTTTTCTGTGGAGATGATTGTAATTTTGAGATATTTTTATGTCCTCTGGTCTTTACAACTTTCCAGAATCTTTTTTGAAGTATAATACCTAGAATGAATGCAGTACCTAAATTTGAGTAGTGCCAAAACAAAGAAGGAGGATTACTTGTATCTTACAAGTTACACATCTGGTTATAAACCTCTCTGTAAAGTTTGCCTTTTTTGTTTGGCAACAYGGTGATACTGATAGATAATACCAGTGTTGTGTTCTGTTAATGACAACAGATTTCTGCAGTTCTGCAAACTAATCATGGCATCAGCTAATTTTCTCAGTACCARAGAGCAGAGTCCATYGACYTTATCTAGTATAAAAATATCTAAATTGTCTAAGTACTTCTGGACTAGTTATGTACTTAACATAGTCAGTGTTCCCTATGCTGTCATTGACATGAAGTAAGCATTAGCAGAATATAGGAGAGGTTAATACATAAAAAAGATACTCTTGCTTTCTTGGTTTCATTTGTTGAAAGCTTRCCATTGACTAACAGGGCTTTTCCTYTTGATCAWTRCAGAAGTATCAAACAAAATRRTGGTTTGAACTTGTGTGTTCCTTGATAAATGTATTTTAGTTTCTGTCCTTATTTCCCTGTGTTTTTCTTCTATTTTTGTTATTTTTTGAGCTTGTCAGTAGTTCTGTAATTCRCAGATGTGAACTATTCTCAGTTGTGAGCTTGAGTATTGTAAAAGAGATATTACAGATACAGTGCACTGAAGAAGTTTTACTGATAGCGTAACAGTGACACTGGTTTATTTTAATTTAATTCATGGATATATATGTTATATCAATACATAGGAAGAGAGGCACATTTTTAACTAAGTCTGTGTTTAATTTCAAGCTTTAAAATTGATTGTTGATCTGCCAGTAGAGTCTATTTTGCTTCCAACATATCAGATGTCAAATGGTAAAACAACATGATGCAGATTTTATGTCAACTTAATGGAGAGGTAACTATTTCCATGCATGTTAAAATCTATGCTGTAACTACTGCAAGACTTATTTAATGTAAGTAATGATAACTTAAAGAARCAAAAAATAATTGTTGAAACCATCAGTAATATTTCTTATTTTGTAGAACTGATGCTTCAGCACATATGAAAAATATTTTAGTGTGGTTTAACATTAAAAACACTTAAAGTGGTATGTTCATTTTTAAAGCTGAAAGAAATAAAATGCATATATATATTTTTATAGAGTTGTATTTTTTATTCAGTATAAGAAAATTAAAAGTTGTTTACTTTATAAAAACCTGGTCCATATAAAATATCATATGCTAACCATTATACATGTAAGATAAGGGAATTATGKATTACTATGTTATGTATAAATGTGGTTTCAGTGTAGGAGAAGCARTCCTCAGAAGAAGAGACATCAGTTYTCASGTTAACAATATACTTCTTACATTTWTGTAAAATAAAGAKAAGTTTTCTTTTTAAACACCTGTTGCAAAGTTTTTATCATACAAAGAAAAGTAAATAACAAAGTCTAAGCTACGTGAAAAGGCCACTAGTTTCATAGAAGGACAGCTATTCATTTTTTGAGCAGCAGAATATTCTGTGTGGTTCTGTAATCCTCTCTAATTGATTTTTTAAAAAAAAATTTAGAGTTTTATATGTGTGGATAAACTGATCTCTCTCAGAAAAACACTAGAGAAATTCTTACATTATTTTATACCCTAGGACATATTTTAAAAGTAAATGATAATAAGTTATTAAAGCAAGACGCATTTAATTCTCCTGAAAATAAGACGATCAAGATGTTTAAAAAGAGATATTTACAAAAAATTGTGGATGTCTTCCTCTAGGACACTATGTTACCGATGTTTAAAAATTACCTTTTTATTTAACCATCTTCATGGGGAAATTTTGTGGCATCTGTTGTTACAAGAAATTAAAGTAAAAATTATGAAGCACTATCAGTATATACTTCATTGATTAGCAGAAGTGTTTTGTCTGATGTAAATCACTGGTCTGAAACTTTATGAAGTAGTTTTMTCACATTGTTTTTGACTGTATTTTCTCACTTGTGATTCTCTATTATATTTATCATAACTCGAAGAGCATGTTAAATGTAAATACTTTTTGTACTGTATTTGCCTTACTGTTTCTGTTTACATTTAAGAAATAGGCTTCAAAAGTTCTGTTTTTGTTAGATCTACCCATTTTATRTTAGCAAACTTTACTCARTTTTTCAATAATCTGTGTTTTATTRAGATGTCCACAATTTAACAGAACACTTTCCTCTGGGAAGGGCTGCCTAAAAATCCTTTATAGATTCAAAACTCTCATTTAGAAGAGACGGGCTTGGGCAGCACAGTTCAGATCTGGATGGGAGCCAAAACTTCCATGGAATGCAGGAGGTGGATGCTGTAGTTTGATTTACTAGGTACTCTAAGTTGTAACTTCCATRTTAGTACCAGCTGGCAATGTTCATGCACTCCAGCTTCTGTTACAGCTACATGGTAGCTAAACTCTCCAAATGTCCTTGCAGGTTGGTTCATCCCTGATTTTATTGTCAGTAAACCTATATTATAGGTTCAAAAGAATCCACTGTTATATGGTTTTACTTTGTGTTGTGTTCTTTGATCATTTTCTTTCTTTAAGTCTAGTTGCAGWGACTGAAATAGAGCTTATCATGTAGAAAACATCCAATCTGGTCTAATCACAGCAAGCCATATTAGTCATTTTTCACCTGACTTATTCACTCATTTGAATCTTTATACCATTTACAGACTTTATCAAGAATTCCATGTCTTACTGTGTCTGCATTATTGAACACCATAGAATCAAAACAGTCTAACATGTTTCTTCTTTAGTAGTAGTTTTGCTAGCACAAGTAGAAKTGATTGAGTTTTGTATTAAATTTACACATTTGTTAATTATTTGCTTTATTTTAGGGAGGTGATCCAACAGCTACTGTAATTGCATTGTGTTCAATGAGAGATTACAATCTGTCTCAAGAAACGTGTCAGCAGGCTATCGTGGACACTGGATGTCTTGAAGTGTTAATTAATTTACTTGATACAGAAGAAATTAAATGTCAGGTAAGTAGCTTTGTCAAATAGAGAGAGCAATGAATATGCCTTTTCTGTTAGAATAATTTTTTTCCAGTTTCTTTCTTTTCTCATTTCTATATTTTCTTGTTTTCTTCAGATTTTTTATAAAGAAATCTGTTTTTGACTCTCAGTTTTCTTCTTTTTTTTGCTGATTAAATATAAAGAAAAAGATTAAATAACCCATTATTYTAATAGAATTCATGTTTTTGTATACCTAAATAATGTTTAACTTCTKTTGTTTCCCATTATTTAGGCTGGTTCACTAAAAATCCTGAAGGAAATTAGTCAAAACATGATGATCAGACATGCAGTWGCAGATCTTGGAGGCTTAGAGGTSATGGTGAAAATATTGGACTCTCCAGATATCGATCTAAAATGTTTGGCAGCTGAAACAATTGCCAATGTTGCTAGATTTAAACGAGCACGGAAGACCGTAAGGCAACATGGCGGAATCAAGAGATTGGTAAGCAGACATTAAAATTTGTACCCTTGTCATACGCATATTTTTGTTAAAAAACTACATAATATGTTTTAAATATGATCATTGCAGTGTTTGCCATAACTAGAAAGCAGCATTATATCAAAGTTCCCTGTAAATATTAAGAAATTGGTATTTTTTTTAGGTAGGGCTGTTGGAATCTGTTTCAGTGGGACCATCATACCAAGGCAAAGAAACTGAAGCAGCACGYTGTGGGGCTTTGGCACTCTGGAGCTGCAGCAAAAGCACCAAAACCAAGAAAGCAATCCGTAAAGCTGGTGGCATTCCTTTACTAGCTAGATGGCTCAAATGCTCAGAAGCAAACATCTTAATCCCAGTGGTGGGGACACTACAGGAATGTGCCTCAGAGGTGAGTAAACACATATAGCTAAGTTACTTCTGAGCATTAAAAAAAATTAGCCACTAAGAAGAAGTATTACATTCTTACATTACAGTCACTTAAATCAGGTCAGTTACCCCATCAGGAATTACGTGCTTTGTGTAATCAAAGTGGTTTTGAGGMGGTCACAACTTGAAGCAAAAGCCACATATTTTTTATTTAAAAGTCTAGGAGTAATATGTGRAAGAAAAAAAGCATAGGAATTAAAGCCTTAATCAATTTCTCTTTTTTCATCATTACAGATTTGGGAACATAATATGCTGTATTCTGGTTAATCAATGYATTTAAATTCTGCAGAACTAACCTGCATGTGTGGCCAAGAAGATCCAATACAGTGCAAGTCAGAGTGGTTACAGGGTTCTTGTGCATTGGGTAACACAGTGGCAGATTCCTTTCAAATAGAAGAAAGGAATATATATTTCTACAGCTTTCCATGRCACATTTTGCAATTTTGAGTATATTCAGTTTTTAGATTTGAATACAAATGTGTTTTTACCATGGCCATGTAAAGRATTACAGGAGTGGGACAATTCTATTTAATATCTTTATCAATCATCTGGTTGAGGGGATCGAGGGCACCCTCAGTCAGTTTGCAGAGACACCAAGTTGGGTGGGAGTGTTGGTCTSCTGCAGGACAGGAAGGCTCTGTGAGGGATCTGGGCAGGCTGGATTGATGGGCTGAGGTCAGTGGTACAAGGTTCGACAAGGCCAAGTGCCAGACCCTGCCCTTGGTTCACAACAGCCCCTGCAGTGCTACAGGCTGGGGGAAGAGTGGCCGAAAGACTGCCTGGTGGAAAAAGGCCTGGAGTGCTGAACATGAGTCAGCGAGTGCCTGGGTAGCCAAGAAAACCAATGAATGGCATCCTGGCCTGTATCAGCAATAGTGTAGMCAACAGGACCAGGGCAGTGRTCATCCTCTGTACTTGGCACTGCTCAAATCCTGTGTTCAGTTYTGGGTCCTTCAAATCAGGAAGAACATTGAGGTGCTGGAGTGTGTCCAGAGARGGGCATTGGAGCTGGTGAAGGGTCTGGAGCACAAGTCCAATGAGGAACAGCTCAGGGAGCTGGGGGTGAAAAGGAGGCTCAGAGGGGCCTACCTGACCACTCACTCCAACTACCTGAAAGAACGCTGGAGCCAGGTAGGGTTCTTATCTTTTCCTAGGTAACAARCAATAGGATCAGAGGAAATGTCCTCAGGGTGAATCAGGGGCATCAGGGGTTTAGATTGGATATTAGGAAAAATTTCTTTGCCCAAAGGTTTGTCAAGCACTGGAACAGGCTGCCCGGGGAGTGGTTGAGTCACATCCCTGGATTTACTTAAAAGATGTGCAGATGTGGCACTTAGGAATGCAGTTTAGTGGTAGACTTGGCAGGGGTGTGTTAATGGTTGTACTCAATGATCTTAAAGGTCTTTTCCAAAGTAAATTATTATCTAAATTTGTATTATTCTGTGTCTCCATCTGAACTTAAGGTGTATTGCATTTCAGACAAAAAAATACACATAATTTATGTTGGTGAGTTTGAGGCACAAAACACAGCATTTTTCAAGAGATTTTGCATTATTAAACTCTTTGTCTACTAAAAATTAGCTTCTTGAATTACACAAACATGCATTTCCATGAGACACAAATGTGCAGGTTTTAGGTTCTGCAAGTATGTATTGAGAAGGTGGTATTGTATGGTCTAACTTGGAAGGAAAACTAAATGCATTTCTTACACAGATGTTCCCTCCACTTAAAAAATAATCCCCTGTTACAATGCCTGTAGGATAAAATTTGGAAGAAAATATCACTAAAAAATGTTAGTTCCAAGCAGATGTTTTTCTAACCTTGGTTTAGGAATAGATCTGTTGTTTTGGCTGCTGGTTCTTAATGAAGTGAGTGGGTACTTCATGATCCCATTCTGAAGCATCTTTTGCTTTATTGGTCTGAGCRGAAATCTGGACACCTTTCAGAATATTCTGCATAAGCCAAGTGGCTACAAGATAGGCAATGCAGTACTTCATTTTGCAGGTGACTTGAAGAGCACTGCACAGAATGTCTGTTTGCTTTTAAGATCATGAGTAGTATTTTCAAGGYAATGATGACTTGTGTTTATGTAAAGTACAAGGCTTCTTGTTATCAAACCCTAGAATGGTAGCATTGTATTGTTATTGTAACCTATTAGCTCTTTTAATATGCAGGATTTAAAAGATGCAATTTATCTTTTCAGCCAAGTTACAGACTTGCAATAAGGACAGAAGGCATGGTTGAGTACCTAGTGAAAAATCTGAGTAGTGAACATGAGGAGCTCCAGAGGCATTGTGCAAGTGCCATATTTAAGGTAACTGTATTATTATCCGTAGATCAGAGCCAGGAACCGCCCTTTGTTTTCATGTCATTGTCCATTTTAAAATTTCTTAATTTCACTGTTTCTCTAAAGTGTAAAAGGTTATAGAAATGTTGTGAATATTTTAACTGCATATTTAAGTTCCTACTTGCTCTTCTTTTGTGAAAGCCCAAAGTTGCACAAGTGGAGAGAGGCAAGGCATACTGTGCATAGAGCTGCTATGGGCTTTTTGTTTGTTTGCCCTGAAAGTGGACAGTGTGACAGTGTAAGCACTGCTGCATATACAGAGTGGTTCACTATCCAATTCTCTTATTGAGTTGTTAGCATATTCAGATACTTGAATAAAATAWTTATGTTTTCTTGTCTAGTAGCTTTTACTAGTTACAGTGTAATACAACTACCTTTTGAAGACATAATTTTAAACATTTTTACATAATATATATATTTAATTTTTTTATAGTGTGCAGAAGATGAAGAAACACGTGATCTGGTTAGAAAATATGAAGGTCTACAACCACTATCTGTTCTGCTTGATAACAGTGAAAACAAAGAACTTTTGGCAGCTGTGACAGGAGCAATCTGGAAATGTGCAATCAGTAGAGAAAATGTGTTAAAGTAACAATTTAATTTTATAAGCATTTATTACATGATCATGTTTTGATTTCATGGGCCTCTATTATTTTCCAAACTGTTGTATCATGGTTCTTCAAAATCAGTCTTTGTAATCAGTTGGGCTTTCAACTTAGGTTTTAGTACTTAAAAAATTGCCACCTGATCTCATCAGGGTACAGTGGAGACAGTGTTAAGTTCCTAGAATCCTAAAGGTCAATGGAGATAAGTAGTGCCTCTAGTTAAGCCGTAGGACACTGAGTCAGGAGGTGTACTAAGCATTTGACACGTGGCCATATCTGGTATCTCCCTCCTGTCTGTAGTTTACAAGCCAGAATCACTGCTGCATCRTAAAGGGAGTACTTAGTACCCTTAAGTTTAACATTTTGTATCAACAGAGACCAAATTATCTCATTCTAGGGCAGATACCTAATAAATATTAGAAATATRCTGGAGTTTAGGATAATTAGCCTAGATACCTCGCTTCTTGAGTACAGAAGGGGTTCAGAAAAGTAGCTTAATTTGGAGACCCAGCTTCTAAATGAGTGGAATTAAATTATGAGATTCTACTGTAGATATCTGCAGCCTCTGAGTACCAGGGTCCTGAGGAATTATCTGAGAATGAGACAACAGGAATTGTCACTTCCCTCCTTCCATGGAGCAGTTTAGTGGTTGAGAACACTTTACCCTCTCATCTGAAATCAATTTATCAGATTCATGCACCTTACCTAAAAAAAGAAGCTGGCACCAGTGCATATGTGCTAGGTTATCTGCTAAATTAGGCTGCTCTGTACAAAAGAATGAGAGATGCATAGGTTAGAAAGATACTAGTAAGAGATAACATCTTCCTGCAGCCCGAATTTTAATGTATCTTGCTGGATAAGCACAGTAGATACAGACTGGATAAAAATTAGGAAGATTTCCAGGTTTTACATTCTGGATTTTTGCTGTCCTTAATGAGTTCYCAGATGGTTGGTCTTTACATCCTCTGCTGCTGTCCTACTGCTTTTTGCATTTGTTACCACACAGTAACCTACCTTTTAATAGGGATTTATCCTCCTTTTCTGTGGACTTTGGGTATGTGCAGAGGTATCCTGATTTTGGATGAATCAGTGATGAGATGGACTGAATGGCTCTCTCYGTACTCGTAAACTAAGCAGGGCCAAGCCTTTCAGGGTTCAGGCACTATGTCAGGATTATCCATACTGTGTAATTGCCAGCACAGTCCCTTTCACAGTTTGGCCTGTGCCAGCAAGCACTCTCTCAGACAATGCCCAGACACCCCTTGGGAGCAGTGGAGGCAACAGATTGTTTCCATTAGGCAGAATGGGCGAGGCCACCCTGCATTGTGAGGATAAGAGATTTTAGCCATGTGGATGTGATGTTGTGCTTCTTGTCCTCCGGGCTAGAGAATGAGCCCTAACCTGTTTTATTTATTAGTATAGCTGTAGCCAATAATTCTGTCCAACTGCAAACAGGTTTTTGTTGGGCTACTCATGTATCTTTGGCAAGTRTTTGATGCTCCACAAAGGTTACTAGCTCGGCACAGCTCCAGCTGAATTCATGTGTTATGTGGTGCTGAGGCTGAAGCAGTAAATCCTTTCCAAACTCAAGATGGGAGGGCGCTTAAGAAAAGGGAGTGAGGGTAATATGAAAACACCTAAGTAGATCTGGAGGGATGAGCTTGACTCAGGCATGAGGCTAGAACCAACAAACGCTGCTGGCTCCTGCAGGGGCACTCAATTATCTCTAAAATGCTCCACTGTATTCCCTATAGCTGGGGTTCAGTGCTGAGATGTTGTACTGACTCAGCCATGAGCTGGTACAGGTGCCTGGGTCTGTGTAGCTCTGGGTGCAGCCCTACTGCTCCTGGACACAAGATAGCCCGAGCCAACAGCTCTGTCAGAGTGCAGCCTCCTGTTGCAGAGCCTGCTCACATTGTTCCATCTGAGAATAGTTGAAATGCCACTGAAAATCAGTTTTGTTTTGTTGTTTTCTTAAATTATTTGTTTACTTATTGTTCTTTTTTTATGCCATTGATGTTTACTCTTGAAAAATATAATTGATGGTAATGGCAGTTAATAAAGAGAGGAAAATTCCTCTTTGAACAACGGTTTGGATGATGAAAAACTAAAGTTTCTAATTTCTCAGTTACTTCAATTATGCTGATAAYCCATCTTGGAAAGATTAATTTTTATTGAAACAGATCTAGTTCTGTGATAAAAGTCTCAGAAATACTATTTTTTTTGTATGAAAGAAAAGCCATATGAGCAACTGATTCCTGGAAAATAGTTTTTGTAGCTCAAGTAGACATTCCCAGAAGCTAGGGACTGGGAGGARAGCACAAATGAGAACTCAGTAACCTCAGAGAAATTTTCTCTGATAACTAGTTAATATACAGGTTAGATCTAGTTTGATAYACCACATGGAACTGTAAAAGTGCATCAGAAAATGTRTAAAAGAAAGATGCAGTTTTAGAACTTAGAATCCTTTAAGTTTTGAACAAAAAGAAAATCAACTTAGAAGATTATTTCAGCACCAAGGAAAAAGTCCTGTTCTGAAAGATGAACTTCTGAGGTTTAGCACACATCTCTTCGTAGGACAGGACCTCCAAGATTTAAAAAATCATATTTTTGATTTTCAGTATCAAAAGTTTCATGATGAATGAGGAAATTATTTATATAGCAGTCAAGTCAAATTTCTGTCAACTTAYTTCTTAATTGTAAGTTGGAATCTAAGTGTGCTATAGAAGTGTAATAGAGCTATGGTTCTGACTTCAGGAAGATGCAATGTATTAGGCCTGAGCTAAGTATAGAACTGGTCAGGGAAAGGCTGATGTTTAGTGCTTTTTACTWAGTGAAAATAAAGGTGATCCGTTAGTTCAGAAAGGTGGAGGAGAGTCTGGAACAGTACTACTCCAGCTATTGTTAACATAGCAGGAAAACAGTGCTGGAAATTAGGAAAGCACAGTAATTACCAGTCTTCTGGTTTGTTTTCATSTATTATTTGTAGGGGTTGCATCCACATATCAAGTTTTAAAAAACCCTCAAACTACCCAAGAGATTCTTATCAGCTTAATTAGAGAAATGTAGTTAGAAAGGTACAGTAAGAAATTAGGCTGTRTGTCACACTTAGAATAAGTGATTGGAATGGTTTGCCTGTATTGTGATTTCTTCATCAAGATGATTTACATAGAGAAATTAAATCCTGTACTTCAATTGTAATAATACTTTAATTATATAATTAAGCTTATAATGGTAACATACTGAAAATAACAACTTGGATTTATTGCTGTCTTTTAGATTTCAGGAATATAGAGCTGTGGAAGCTTTGGTAGCACTGCTTACTGATCAGCCTAAAGAGGTCCTTATAAATGTTATTGGAGCCCTGGGAGAATGTTGCCAGAATGAGCCAGAAAATCGAGGCACTGTCCGCAGATGTGGTGGAATTGCACCTCTAGTGAGGTTATTGACTGCAACTGATCAGGCATTACTTGTGAATGTCAACAAAGCAGTGGGAGCTTGTGCAATGGAACCTGAAAGTATGGCGTAAGTTTCTAATGTTTGTAGCATTTTAAATACTGAAAAATAGTTATTTGGATGCAAATATAGTAAATTCTAATCTGACTTTAAAGGTATTTTACTTTTTTCTTTTTCCAGAACTGTGCATGTTAGTTACATCCTACTGTCAATGTGCTATACATTGAAAAATTTAAGGAAATATATAGAATGTAAAGCTTTTGTATTTTGAAARAAATCAAATAAACCTTCAATAAATTGACTTCTGTTAAACTTGAAATTCAAAGTTACAAAACACCATTTTCAAGTGCTCCATGATAGGTCCATGTTTTGCCTTCTCCTTTTRCATCTGTTCACAAGTCATTAAAAATCTCCCAAATTAGGGAAAGGTGTTCTAAAAGGAAACATGTACATTTACTGTCATGAAAATAATTTTTTTTTGTAATAGTTTATTACTTGTATATCTCTTCTGTCCCTCTCCATCTTTTCTTTTGTGAACTCAGACAGTTTTGGCCCCTTTTCTCCCCTCTTATTCCTTTGCAAAACCAAACAMAAAGACTGTCTTTGATTTTGTGATGTAGGTTTGTCCAAATCATGAAGATCCTTGAGTTTTATTTTGAAGTGTTTCAGTTAAATGTTGAGATCGGCATTTGCTGTGCTTACTGTTCCTTCACAAGGATATTTAYTTCAAGATTCTCAGCATATTTCCTTCCTTATGTATAAGGGAAATCAGAAAGAAAGTTTTATTAAGCTCCTCCTGTTCTGATTTGCATAATTCACTTGATATTCATATAGCAGTGCAGGGAATTCTTTTCCTGAATAGGGCTTTTGTTTTCATGCTTTGGCTGTCACCCAGTGGCAAAAGGCTGGATGGTACACAACTGTAAACATGGGTTGTATGAGCAGTTAGCCATGTAGCATAAAAATATAAATAAATGAAATAATTTATTTCATTTATGACTAAAAATCAGCCTTTAGCATAAGGTATTAACCTAAGAGAATGAGCRTTGTAAATACTGAGAAATTTAAATGCCAATAAATATAAATTGATACATATAAAAACCTCAGACATACTCCAGTGTTCAGAACTGTCACTTGTAGTATCCAATATGGATAGCTTCATACTGGAATGTATTCAGCATAAACATAAAAAAACCTACAAGTTGCTGCTAAAATTGTGAGAGAACAAAGTCTGTCTTGTCTCTAAGAAGGAGAAAGTACAGGTTGTTTTGGACAAAATTTTAGAGTTTGTGAAGAGYGAACAAAGGAATCAAATGTTAAATTTGGTTCATGTAAAAATTCTCTGTTGAAGTTCTCAAATTTTAAAGTGTTTCTAGAMGTATTTCAAAATATTAACAAGCAAACAAGATCTTAAATAAGTGTAGAACATAGCTTTTGCTACTACAAAATAAAGTTTACACAAAAATTGTTGTTAGCAAGACTGTGCCATGTACCTGCTGTATTGTGCTAGCTSGGCTTGTAGTACTTGGAGAGATAATGCTGCTGCATTTTTCCAAAGCATGAATCATTCAAGTGTGGAYAGGTTTGATACTAATTCAGAAAAAAATTTTAAAAACAATGCTTAGTTAAAACGTTGACAGCAGTGTAACTGTTCATATGTATAAATTATTTCCTTTATTGAGTTCTATGCCTCTCACAGGGCATTTACAGGCAACCTCCCGACCCACCACTCAACCCCACCTCTCTAACAAGAAAAAGAGTAAGAAAAAGAAGTATGTCCATTCTTCTCCCTTCCCCTCCTTTCAAACCAGTACAGCAGGAATTGAAATTGCATCTCCTCATCCAAACTGCTCTTCTTTTGGGGAAGAGCAAATCACCACAGATGTGAAGTATGCACACTCAGAGTCTGTAGTATGACTCTTTACAGAATTTGGGCCTAAAACAATAAATAGCTTTGTTAGAAACTACTGTGGAGTTCAGTCTCTTTCTGTAAACATTTTCTGAAGCTCTTAGACAAAAAGATACATCTTAGCAAGGGTGTGGAGATGTGCCAAGATTGCTTTCTAGAAAGAAGCGGAGCAGTCATCAATGGCCTGTAAGTCTATACAGGTGATGAGATTTTTCTGTTGCAGCAGGTTGATACTTAGCTGTTCATGGTCTTTCAGACTCATGTAGCYGGATCCCTGTTACATTCCTTATTTCATAATCACTGATTTCTCAGAATGGTGTGACCAGTTCTTCTCTGCTTCCTTTGTCCTGACGAATTTGGCTGTCAGGTCTTGAAGCTTGGGGCTTTTTTTGTCATGTGGTACAGATAGGCTCTGGTTACAGTTTTTAGTTTGGCATTATAGGAACTTTGAAAATTATGGTGATTTGCCTGGATTCTGCTATCATTGACTTTCATATGTAGAAMAATTTAAGCCCTCRTTGAGAATTTTCAGATWTATTCTTRCATTTCATTAGCTGCRTGTGTGTTTAACAAAGTGTGGCTTRGAGACTAAATATTCAGTTGAGCAGTCTTCTACTTTGAATATACTTATCCTTGCAGCAGTAGGTGTGTGAAAACCATACAGRCCAAGAGTGGAGCTCACATAATTTCTGTTAATGATTCAAGGATATATAATGAAGAGGTTGGGATTAATATAAGAAATGAAACATCATTATGAACTATAAAATGATGAGAATGTTCTATGAAGCAGTGCAGTTAAATTCTGAGGGAAATACTGTGCAATTATATTATGTTCCATGGAGCAAGCTTGCGGTGACAGAGAGACTAATAGATAGATATAGGTGAATCTGCATCTTCTATATGTCTTTCATGTATTTTATTTCTGCCATGTTTCCTAGTTGACACTACAACTATTGAAAGGAAGATACATGAGTGTTACTTTTCTGCCAATCCTTTACTTCAAGGCACTTGAAGCAATTAAGTGATTCTTACTGATTCTATTGAGCTATTTAAAATAAAAAAAAAAACAGCCAGCTTCTCTCACAGCTGAAGAGAAGCTGACTTATCTAAAAAACCCAACATAATTATGTGACTGGACTTCCATATTCTTATGTAAACAGCATGAAGCTGTTCTCCTTACTTGGTCTGCTTTACCACCACTGAGAGAGRTGCTGCTGTACATTTTTTATGTATATTTATCTTTTTGAGGAACTTTTTATGAGTTAGTTATTTTCTCTTACTAAAAACAAAGGACTAGTACTTAGTCTTTAACTGACACAAGATTTTAATTTGCCCTTCCATTTGAATAGCCATGGACTGCTTTGCTAGCATTCAGAACTGAGGGYTTAGAATCTTGTAAACTAAAATGTGCAATTATTTTAGCCAAGCAGATGGAGTTTGAGTCATTGGTATATAATACTATTTATCAAAGCAGTCAGCAGCAACTAGTGAAAGTTTTAAGAAAAATGCTAAATTGTGGTTTCAAGAAAGATGAGATTACATTTTGACAGAATTAAACCCTGTAATCTTACCAGTGAGCACAATACAGAGTCAGTATAACTTTATTTACGTTTGTATTTGTGGTCTAAATTGGCAGGCAATTAAACTGGAGTTCTCAAAGTTCTGGTAAGTAACATTGTAACAGAGAAAGATGATAGATATGACAAACAGATGTCTAGGCTGTGTGTACATATGTGTATTGAAGCAATTCATGTTGACATTTCTACTGGAAATGTTCAATATTAAGTTTTAATTTGAAAGAGAGGTACTAGTTCAGATTAACAGCTTTACTAGTTTCAGATACATTTAAAAAAGCAAAGTAAAYTTCTAGAATTGTAAGCCACATCTTGCTGATAATGTTCAATGATATGATATTGAGRTTGTTAAATAATGTGAGAAGTCTTAATTAAGCAACTTTTGTTTGTGAACAGACAACAAAAATAACTAAAAGAATTATCTTAAATTGCACTGGTCAAATAGCAAATACCAATTCACTGTAACCTAAAATTTGCAGCAATCTCTGAATGGGTTTAATTGCACTAAAATTATTTGCCCATAAGACCTATTCTTTGTACATCCTACATATGTTCTGTGTGGAATGCAGGAGGATGTTTTGGTCCTACACCTTGCATTTGCATTTTGGCAGGAGTGCTGCCAGCTGAGTATGTCCCTCCACCTCTATTCAAATCATGTCTGGCTCAGCACAGGAGCCCATGACAGGAGTGTCTCTTCAGCCAGTTCTAACTGCCATTGCMACTACTTTTGGTTATTTTGAGGAGCAGAACAATCTACACCTCTTCTAAATTATATCAGTGATCAAGAAAGACTAGCCTGTGTCAGAGAGCTTTGAATTAGAAGAGGTGGTCCAGTTCTCTTTTAGATGCCTTGGCTATACTAAGGAATAGAGGCACAAAAGTTCTGGACCTGGACTCTTGAGCTCCACATATTTATATATTGTTGTGTATTTATAGTGAAGGACCAAGTGGCAATTACTTATAATAAAGTTTACATTTCTACTTTGGTTGAGTTTCTTGCCTATTAAGATTTTGACTAATGATAATTTCCTGTGCATTAGATACATTACATACATACATACACACATACATAGATGCATACAATAGCAGGTCAGCTATACTATAAAGCAGTTATATAGTTTAATATTAAAGTATCAAATATTAATATTTTTATATCAACTAAATATTGTATTATTTCAGCTTTTATGAGATTCCATTCAGCTTTCAAAGAAAATGTTTTACATTTTTATTAAAAAACCTGTCTTTTAACAGCCCCAGGAGTAGTTGTTACCTCCAGATTTTACTGTAGTTTCATTTTATCATCAGAATATCAACAAATTATTATRAAATAAATACTTTTAAGTGACTGAAACCACAGAGTGAATGGTGTGCTAACTATGGATGAATACAGAATTGAATGCCAACCAAAGTAAATTTTATGTAATGTTTGGTAGTATTTTTGCGTTAAGAAGCTTTATTACTGCATCCTGGTAATATTATAATAAAATTTTGGAAGAAAATCAGGTACAAAAACTGTATACAAAAGCAAATCATAATATAATTTAGCATTATATTATCAAAGCTAAAATTTTCAAGATTGCAGGTCTATTTTCCCCTCTCTTTCTTGGTTTATTTGTAGAGAAAACTGAATGAATTTTTTGTCAGCTTTAAAAAGGAATTTTTTCATAGGAAGGAAATTAATGTCTAAGCACTTTTATAGAGGAAACATTTTTCAGGACCATTTATTTTAGTGTTCCCTTTTCTGTTAAGGTAAATACACTCATTCAGCATCCATTTTCTTCATCTGCTGGATTGTGCAGTGAAACCATAGGAAGATGAAAAAAATGAACTTTTTAGCAGTCCTTTCTAGATTGGCAAATGTTTGTTCTCAGCAAGATGAAAATAACAAGGTTTCTGTTTGCATGGTGATTATACAAKGATACTTCTTCCTCAATGAGAATTTAAGAGCATCATTCATGTATGTGGAGTTCTTTTTATTTGAGTTAATCTAGTKCAATTTCAAGCAATCAGTGATGAAAAATGTAATTTGGAGATTTTATTGTTTTTTCTGTACTGTTTCCTAGTTTAATTTCATGCATGTTGAATGGACAGAGAACTATAGTTTCAGATATTTTGAGCTGGGTTCTGTTGCATCTAAGACACCTGGTCTTTCTGGTCTTCAASCAAAAGGCAAAACTCTTCTTCAGAAAATTAATGATAGAGTGMGGCTAGTTCACCTTGAAACACTGAAGAGAAGACAAGAAAACTGAAAAGAAAATAAAAGTAAACTTTCAGTTGAAAAGGACGTTTTAAAAAAATAGAAAGGAAAGATAAATCAACCTAGGGGTTGTTTTTTTAAGTGTGGTGGAAAAATCTGAGCTCAGTGTTTGGCTTCTATCTCTTGATTTTTATATACTTGTTGGAGTTGGGTCATTTATATTTAGCCCCTCTTGGGAGGAAGTACCTCATGTTGGTAAATGGTCAGTACTCTCCTTGACTAGAGGAAAGATTCATGGGTTCTTTTTTAATTAATTCCAATATAGGAAAAAATTCCTTTTACTTTCTGAAATGACAGGAGACTAATKTTAAAATAGCTTTAAAGTGTTTAGGATTTGGAGGGATTTAAAAGTTTGTTTTGAAGCTTTTACTTAAGTCATYCTTACTTTGTGAACATATATGTGTAATTGTGACATTGTGCTCATACTGTTTTATTTTGTTGTGTTTAGACTTCTGAATTTGTCCTTTGAATGATGATTTTCTTGCAGTTGATTTGGAGCTGATGATTATAATAAGCTGTACTGAAACTGGCAGATCTTAAAAATCTTAGGATTTTTAGCTTAATCACMACTTTGTGCAAAAAGTATTATTTTGAAAAAATGTTGTTTAACCAGTTTGCATTAAAATGTTATGAATAAAGTCCTTGCTTATTTTAGATGGACTGCATGTTCTTATTTATTTTTTCTGCTTCAGATGATGAAAGAATTACATACAAAGTTCATTTTATAGTTTTAAAATTTCCTGGCAAAGCATATRTAGTGAACACAAATGAGATGCTTTATCTGCTGTTTTTAAGCTCTCTTAAAAATGTGTTTTAAATTCTCTTTCATTTACAATGAAAGATGTAAACACATTGCACGCAACTGAATTTTTTACTTTTGAGTAGACAGTGAAGGTGTACTTGCTTTTCTTCATCTTCTGCTCATCTACTTTGAGTTTAACACAGTTTAGCACAGAAATAAGGCAGGCTATTAAGTTTTCTTTGACCTTCCTCTCTATTTAGGGTGTTCACTGGAACCTAAGGTGAAGTTATGGTCCCCAAGCCTGATCAATAAGTAAACATAACACAGATGATGTAGAGATGATTCTGATGATAATTCWTTTYTCAGCTAGTCATGAAGATACTTTGRTTACAGTATGTTTAAATAATTATAACATGGTACTGAGTGTTGGTGTTGTTAGTAAGGAGCATATGGGAACAAGTTGCACGTTATTCATGCCCAACAAAGGATGCTCTGTGGTGTGACCATTTTAATTTCTTTTGCTTGATTAGAAACATAGTATTTTAAAATATGTCATASAGCAAGGTAAATATATTAGGCATAGACTGAATAAAAGGTTAAGTACATAGTTTTGGGCATAAATATTTGTTTTGGAAAGTATTTGTTACTATATGAAAGAGGCCAGTATGCTCGAATTCAGATTTCACTTTGCATGCAGATCGTTAAAAAGTCACRTGCTTGTTTTCACATTTATGAGTTCTGGTTATAGTGTAGTTTACTTTATCTTCCATAAGAACTCTGAATGACAGTGCTGGGAAAAAATGAACAACATTAATGAGATTTAGTTAGAAAACATTCTGTCTCTAAATCATTTGTGCACACCCATCTGCTACAGTGAGCACTTTTTACTGAGTATGTTGATGGTGATTAGCTGACAATAAAACACAAGCACTTGTATAAAGCAAAACAGTATGTCAGAATCATGCCAGTGTTTCTTTGAGCAGTGTTCCAAACAAACTGATATAATTTGAGATTCAACATTGTGTACTCCCTAATTAATTTTTCCTTTTTGGTCTGTTTCTGCAATAGGATAATTGACAGTCTAGATGGCGTTCGCTTGATATGGTCATTGTTGAAAAATCCTCACCCAGATGTTCAAGCAAGTGCAGCTTGGGCTCTTTGTCCTTGCATTGAAAATGCTAAGGTAAGAAAGTATTTGAATATATATACTCAGATATAATTTTTATGATGGGATCATTTTCAGCAATACTCTGCTGTTTACTACTTACACTCCTTTTATTCTGTTAACTGCTTAAAAACATATGTATTTACATMTCAAAAGTGAATAGTCCTCCATCTAGCAGCCATTATATAATGTGTTTTGCCTTTACAGTGTTTTCTGTATTGGCAAATATATTTTAATAACTTATCAGGACCTCAGCTTACTGTTCCCAAATAAAGCATGGTGAAAATCAGACAATGCTGAAAACAGAAAGCTTCTACTCACAGGCTATGAATAGCAAGGGTAGTTCTAGCTGTTCTCCACTATGAGGTACTTCAGCTAGGTTCTCAAGAGACCATAATTTGATTTCAGAGCATATTTCAGACTCGGTGCCAATGTAATCTTCAGGTTTTCTGCTCAGACTGCCAACAAAAAGTGCCAGTTGTGAATAGTGGTGGTTGTGCAGGTCAGTTGTGCACAGAAGACTGAGCTATTCATTTATTTCATGTCAGCTTCCAAATAGAGATAAAATAGAGAGGATAAGCTGCAAGTCATTTTCTGTGAATTCTTAGCACTGACGTGGTRAAATAAATGGGCAAGGTTTAGTTTCCCATTAGCAGTTTCCTAGAGAACTAACTTTRTTCCTTAATCCTTGTACAGTACTAGCTTCCATTTCTGTTTTACCTCTATATTTAATGCAATATTTGCATCTTTTCTCTACTATACCAAAAACATATATCCTTCTACACAGAATTAGAGRTTCTGACTATGTAAAGAATAGTAATTCCTTCAAAGTGCTGGATATCTGCAGCATCCTTTGCAGGCAGTTTCCTGTTTGGAATTGAACACTGTATGGCTGCTATTAATTTATGTAGATGATTCGRTGTAGGTAGAKATATATGGATATAGATATGGATATATTGTGAGAATATTTGGTTTTGATTTTTATGACTTAAGCAGTTTTTTTTCTTCACGATTATTTCTGCAATGGTGGCTTGCTTGTAATTTTTCACACGTTTTCAATTTATTCTGAATTGTCTTTTCAACCATTTTTTCTAAATGTGAACTGTAGTGCAAGAAAGTTTTTTGGTACCTCATGGTGTAGTCTAAACATGTCTCCTCTGTCAAGATATGAATATACCTGCCCCTCTCTTGAATAATATTGCAATAACTGGGTGCTAAAAACTACTTGATCTCAGTACTGAAGYAATACTTCCTGTGTGTAAGACTTTGCAAATTGAAGTTGTAGTAGAACTGCACATTGCTAGAGCTTCCACTAAAAGCACATTTTCAGAAACCAAGGGAGTTGAGGACAGCTACTGAAATTATGCATTACATGGATTTTTTTCTTCGTTTTTTCCCCTAGGGTGTTTGATGAGTGCAAGCTATGCACACCCTTAGTGTAGCTATCCTCCTTTCATCTGTCTTGGCTGCCTGCCCTAATGCTAATCTGTGATCTCACAAAGAGTTCTTTGTGTGGCACTGAGACCAAGTGGCTCACTGAAATAAACCTACCAATAATACCCTTTCCGCTGACACTGAATAGAAAGAAATATGTATAAAGCAACAGCTACAGCCACATTGAGGAAGTGCAGAAAATATTTCTATCAGAAGAGAATTTGGTTTTTTTTTTATTTAAAGTTAATATTATTCAAAAATGTATATGATCTTCCAACAAGCAGTTAGGTTTGTGCAGTGATTGATTCAAAAACTGTAGTAAGTACATGACTTTAAAGGGTAATGTGTATTCTGGACTTTCTAAGCCTGTGCATGGGACCACAAACTGTGTTTCAAATAGCTATGGGCATGGAATCTGTTTTCCTTTTGTGTTCTTTTGTGGAGGCTGTAGTGGTTCTATTCTGTGTTGTGAAGGTTCACACATGAAATTGAACTTGTTAATAGTATCATAAACAAATTTTTATAACGATGTAATGCAGCATYCATTTTTCTGTACATCCATTTTTCTACACAGATGTTTTCATTTTACAACCAACTTAAAGGTTATTTTCTGTATTTATAAAATCTTAGAAGCTAATCAATCATTCTGATAGGGAGATTATTGTCATACTATGGGATTACATGTTTCTCTTTCATGGACTTACTCTCACCATAGTCTGTTTCAGAGTACTTCCCATAGAATAGAATTGTATCAGTATGAAGTACCAAAGTGGTATTGTTTGTTATAGAAATATGTTAAGAGTCAGTGATACTTGGTCCCTGACAGATCTGTGACTTTTTAAATAGAGGGTATAAATTGTACACTGTAGTACATAGATTACTAGGTACATAGTAATACATAGATTGGTTAGAGCTCTGACAATCACAACATTGGTTTCATGTCAATCATCACTTTGCATGCCAGCATTAATTCTAAATATTTTTAGCTTGACAAATTTCTYGTAGAGTGAAGATCTTGCTGTCACTGATATAATTTGTGTGGCAAAACTCTCCTGAGAAAATTTGCACAGCACCTCAAAGTTCTTCTTGGGAGTTTTAGACAAGTATCTCATAATTTTGGATAGAATAGTTCACAGCTTACTTTAAAATGCAAGACATAAAGAGTCAATGTAATTTATTCAAAGGAATTATTTTAACAGAAGGAGATTCTTATTAATTAGTTCCTTACTTCCAAAAGGAAAAGTTACTACTGCAGGCACATTGCTAGTGACAAAGTGTGAGTGCACTGTCCAAGAAACACAAATTATTATGAAAAATGAATAAGAGAAGTCTACTCAACTCTGTTGATGTTGGAACAGCAATATTTGGTTATGATGCTTTTTTGAAAAACAGTATTTGTAATGTTCTCCCAATGTACATCAGCCCAAACATAAACATTTGGAGAAATTACACAAAATGTAATTTGGGATATTATAAAAATCACCCAAATGCATTGTGCCAATGAGAGGAACACTGCCAGCACTGACATTCATATTTCCTCACAGAGGAACTTTCTGCTAGAATCTTTAAATGAATTAGAAAAAAAAAAAAAGAAAAAAGAAAAGGGAAGAAAGTTCTAGAGGTTATTTTCTGTCCTCTTCTATATGTAGTAGAATTGCTCAAACAAAGAGTGCAATCATTAGAATACAAATGGTAATGCCAGGCATCGTGTTTTTCTGTCCCATGTGCCTGCATTTCAGCTTTCAGTTTTAGCCTTTTTATAGCWACAACTGTGAGGCTTTCTTATAGAMCTTCATTAACTMTATGTATACAGTTGTCCTGATTTCAGCTAGGCTAGAGTTGATTACTTATCAGTAGCTGGTACATTGTGTCTGTCAAAACAATTTAAGTAAACAGTCAGAGACTGGTGTTTCAAAGACAAGAGAGAGAAAGTTATTCTGTTTTCTTAAAATGTACTTGTAGAATGACATCTCACCCTTTTCTGATTAATCGTGATTTCAGCTCTGCAGGGGAGTATCACTGGTGTGATGAAAGATGATGAGACACCTAAAATTGTYTGTGTATTTCTTTCATAAGGGGAAAAAGAATGTCCATGCTGAAGCACAAAAACCCAAAACCAAATCAAAACTAAACCARGTTTAAGAGGGAAGGGTCATGAGACGGGTATGTGTGATGGTCAATTAGTCTTCAGTCCTGCAGCAGTATTATATAACGAGGAAGTGAGTTTTGCAGCCACCAGTCTGGAGTTAACCTGTGGGTAGAAAATATGCTGCTGATGGCCTATTCTTTCACAAATTTTGCTTGTTATGGAAATTTTAACATAACCATATGTATAAAACCACAGAGAGCATTTCTTTACTAAGAATAGCAAAGAAATGTAGTTGAAGTTGTAAATTCTTCTAATATTTAAAAAATAGTAAAACTATTTGCTGTTTTAAATAAATTATGATGCTTTGATTACGCATTTTACTAATTTAAAATTATAGGGTATAAAGATAATCATCCTCCATACAGCACACTGTTGTTCCTTTGTTTTACATTTAAAAAATTTTAGTTAAGTACTACCAATGCATTTTTGTTTACGTAACATTCTTGGGTTAAGCCTATAATGTCAAAATTCCATTCTTGCTTATGTACAGCGTTTTCCAGTTTCTTWGTTTGCCTTGCTGTGCTTCTTGCAATTTTATACAGAAACCTTGGCAGTTCAGACCTCGTGTTCTTGCTGCTCTCTTTCCATATTTCTATTTGTTTTCTCTAGACACTRTTATGTGTTGCATCTGTCATACCTACTTCTCTCTATTTGCTCTCACTTTTTGCAGCTTTTAGTCCCTGATATCTGGATTTAAACCTTCCAATTTTTTAAGCATTGTTTATTAACTAAGCATCAAAAGTGTACCATAAGAGAGACAAAAAGGAATTTCTGGCTTATCCCTGAAGCCTTCCAGAGAACTATGGTCCTTGGAGAGTTAGGAAGCCCAGGAATCCAGACCCAGCTTGGTGAATCTGTAAGTGACTGATGTTTGTAGGGGGCACACAGAGCCAGCTCATCCAATGACTCTTCACACAGGCTGCCCAGATTAGTGAACCAACTCTCAGGAGTTATTTGGGCCTCCTACAGATGTGTTGGAGACCCTGAATGGACTGGCATAAATTTCCCCGAGATCTTTAATGTCTACAAATAACAGTCTAGTTTCTGTAAAACACCTAATATGGAAGCTGGGAAGCAAAGGGTGTGTGTAGCCTGTATCTGCCTCACACAGGAACCTTGGGCCCTAAGTTCCATGCAAAGCAGCTGCCTGAGAGCTTGGAGACCACAAGAAGCCAAAAAGCTTAGGAGCTCCTGGAGACCTGGCTTTCCAGCTGTTTGGCAGCCCATCAGGCAAGAAGTCAGGGTTTCTATGAAAACTAGAAGCCAAGCAGCCTGGCAGGCTACTCACCAGCCATCTGGCTGACAAGAGAAAAGATGAAGAGACACATTGGTTATTTAGCCTGCCTTTCTGCCTGGTTTCTGTCAAAACTTTTCAAGAAGTCGTTGTGTTCTTATGGAAGGTTTTGGTTCAATTCCATTAGCATTTTCTGATGG